GCTAAGCTCTCCTTCCTGGCACCTTCCGTCCTCCCTTTGTTCCTTCGTTCCTTCCTTCCTTCCTTCCTTCCCTCCCTCTCCTTCCTTCCTTCCTTCCTTCCTTCCTTCTTTCCCTTCCTTCCGCACCTTCCGTCCTCTCTTCCTTCCTTCCTCCCTTCCTTCCTTCCTCCCTTCCTTCCTTCCTTCCTTCTTTCCTTCCTTCCCATCTCCTTCCTCCCTTCCTTCCTTCCTCCCTTCCTTCCTTCCTTCCTTCTTTCCCTTCCTTCCTTGCGCCTTCCGTCCTCCCTTCCTTCCTTCCTTCCCTCCTCCCTTCCTCCCTTCCTTCCTTCTTTCCTTCCTTCCCATCTCCGTCCATTATGCTGTATCGCTCCCCCGCGGCAAACGAGAACCTAAACGAGAACCCAAGCATCGGAGATGCTTTTGGGAAAAACACGCAGTGCGACACATGCAAGGTGCTGCGCCTGCCACGGAAGAAAAAATCACGCACACCTCCACAGTGTGTTGGCCCTGCCAGGCAAAAAATGCAATGCATCTTCAGAGAACCAGGCAAGAGTATTGCGCGCAATATGGTTTTCGAGGACGCATGAAAATTCAGCATTTCCAACAAGCACAGCGCGGTTCCATTATGTCAAAATGAGTCAAAACGACACGTACTGCAGCACTTCCTATGGGTACGGCCATATCAACCTCACAGGAACGGTTGCAAGCGGTTGCGAACGGCGGCGAACAGTTGCTAATGGCGGCGCAGCTCCCAAACCCCTAGGGTGAAACAGGAACCTTTGCTAAGCATTCGGTAATCATAGGTTAAAAAAATGACGGTGTGTCCCAAATTCTGCATGCTATAGTTGAGCTCAAACCACTCAATTTATACATCATTATCGGCTTATAAAATGGCTGAGCAAAGGTCACCGTCAGCCTTTTCCTTATTTGATTTTATTTGTTGGAAATAGTTTCAAATTCTGATTCGCTTTCAGGCGTGAAAACATTTTCTGTGAACATGCAAGAAATTTTGTTGCTACTGTGAGTTGTTCGCTTTGTATAAGTTTTGTGAATGTGCGACCGTCTGAAATATTGAACGATTTATCAATCTTGATGCCTAATTATTTCTTCTACAACCGTTTTGAAAACAAATATTTCGGAAACAACATTCCGGCAGCCAATCACAAATCCAAGAAATTGCGCAAAAAATGTGAGTAGAACCTTGGCCTTGTAAAAGGCTTCGTTTAACCTCGGCGTGTCCAATCTGTTTGTTTTCAAGGTTCCGTTTGCAAAGCCTTTGTGTGTTCATACAAAGACCCCTCGGCTCTATTCAAAGGGATACTATTCAGCTTTGGACAGGTGAGAGGCAACTTGGCCACAAAGAAGCAACAAGATGCACTAAGGTAACCCAAAATGGAAAATATTGGTCATACTTTGAGTAAAAATAGATTAAGATACAAGTAGAGCCCGGGCAAGCCGGGTGACGGAAGTTTCGAGAAGTGGAGATGGCTATAAAGACAAGCGAGAGCCTATAGGAACGATGCCTGACCGCCTCGCTGGCACGGCCGCTGACTGCGTCACCTCTGGGAAGGTTTGTTTCTTTCATCTTTCTGTTGACAATTTGTGTGTTGATGGCAGTGTGAACTGGCATCTTTGTTTGATGCTGCCATTTTCTCTTGATTGGATTTGTGTTTGACTCGCTCGGTCTGCTTTGTTTTCGATATGTTCGAATCTTGGCATCTTTTCCTGCTGCCTGCTGTTGGCATGGACATCTTTCTGTTTTCTTTCGATTTCAATGTCTGATGATGCCACCTTGTCTCCATCCGCCTTGCGCTGGGCATCTCTTGACCTTGACAACCTTCTGGCGCACAGCTTTGCAGCCCGAAATCAGACGCATCTGTACTCTTTTCGCAACTCTTCAGTCTTCATTCCTCTTCTCTCTTCACATCTCAGCTCTCTTCACTGCTCCTTTTCTTCATCTGTCTTCTCTCTTCACACACTCTCTTCACATCTCAGCTCTGCGTACTACAAAGCTTGCGCAAAGTACTTACCGGTACTACTTCGTGCTACAAAGCTTCAACAAAGTACTTCCCAGTACTACTTTGTACTACAAAGCTCGCACAAAGCACTTCCCAGTACTACTTCGTACTACAAAGCTTGGACAAAGCACTTCCCAGTACTACTTCGTACTACAAAGCTTGGACAAAGCACTTCCCAGTACTACTTCGTACTACAAAGCGTGCACAAAGCACTTCCCAGTACTACTTTGTACTACAAAGCTTGCACAAAGTACTTCCCGGTACTACTTCGTACTACAAAGCTTGCACAAAGCACTTCCCAGTACTACTTTGTACTACAAAGCTTGCACAAAGTACTTAC